TTTGTTCACACTGGTAAGTGGTAACGCTAGGATTCAAACACAGGTGGTCTAGGTCCAGTCTGGAATCTTATTGGCTATCCACATAAAAGACATGAGGGAAGATACATTAAGCCACACGTTTGGTTATTTTCAACAGATTTGAAATAAATCGTACCATGGTAGTCGAGATCTTCCTGAAGTATGGAATTATGGAATTATGCTGTCCAATATGGACAACTTCTCTTGCCACAGGTGGCTATTACACAGTTGAAGTGTGGCTAGTTCAAATTGAAATGTGCTCTATGTATAAAATACCTAACTTCAAAGACTTAACATTTAAAAAAAAAGTAAACTAACTTCACTAGTAATTTTACATGGATTAATAGCAAAACATTTTGAATATACTGAGTTAAAAAAATGGGCTTTTTTAATGTGGTTACTGGAAATTTTTAAACTACAAGTTTGAATACCATTAAACTTCTACTGGAAAACACAGGAAGGTTGAAAGACACTGATTAGAATGATTCTAATAAAATTGTCACCGTTTTCTTTAATTGTTACAACAAACTAATTACACTGATTATTAGCTATGTCAGAAAAATGGGATTAAAAACAGTCCTGAAACCTAATTGCGCAGATTTTGGTATCTATTTTCCACTAAAAAGAATGGAGGGAGAGCTCCTTAGAGAAAAGGTTGCTGTCAGAATTGGGACAGTTTAGAGAAAATGTTAATGTCGGAGTTGGGACAGTTGTTTATTTCATTTTTTTTTAAGATTTATTTTTATTTATATAAGAGCCAAGGTACAGGCCAGATGCGCGGGAGGGTGAGAGGACTCACCAGAGACAGAGCAGGGAACAGAACTGGCAGACTGACGAAATACACTGCTGAGGGGAGCAGTGGGCGAAACAGGAGAGGTCTGCTCGCCAGGTGGGTTGCTCTGAGGCCGGTGAGGATGGAACCAGCACTGCAGAGGCTGTGGACAGCTTCACAGCGCTGCGCTCAACCACCGGCGCCACCAGGGAGGCCCCAGTTGGGACAGTTTAAGTTCAAGTGAACCCTCAACATCAAAAAGAAGGAAGTGCTCAAAAAGTCATCAGGTAGGAAGGATTGAGTGGAAGTGTGATTTGTCAAAAAACAAAAGAACCAGCTTGCAGAGGTGCCCCTATTGGTCAAACCTGAGACAATTTAGGAATCAAAATAATAATAATAATAAAGATTTAGCTACTGAATAAAGTCAGAATTCATAAGCTCATGATGATAAAATAATCATACTGAATAAATGTCAGATGAGAAAGATTGCTTTATAAAGTAATGATGAATGTAGAAAATCTTATACGGAAGTTAAAAACGTGAGTTAAATTTTGTTGAGAATATGTAATTATCCTGTTTCCCAAAGTATTTCCCAAATAACATTAAATACAAAAGGATAAGTAATAACTTTGGGAGAGAAATATGGAGAATTACCACACCAATCAAATTTTTAAAGCTAACGTCACCAATATTGAGAGACACCAAGATGGGGAGTCTCAAGGCAGGATGTACCACTGAGAAAGACAGAATCATCTCTTCAGAGACAATCTAATCAGGCAAAAACAACAAATTTGAAAAGAGTCAGTCTACAAAATAACTCTCCTATACTTTTCAAAAATGCCAAGATTGAGAAATACAAGAAAAGCTGAGCACTGCATATTAAAAGAGCCGAAAGAGCTATGACAAGCCAACGCTAGGTGCCATCCTGCACTGGCAGGAAAAAGCTTATGGATAAACAGATACAATTTGGATGTGGATTGTGAATTAGATAATATTATTATGTCAATGTTAGGGAAAAAGTGGTATGATGTCTCCAAATAAACCTCAATGGTTAAGGCAAAAATGCTAAAATAAATGCAATAAAATATAACCCAACAGTACAACCGATGAATACGGGTAAGGCTAGAAGAGTTCCTTATACTATTCTTCTAACTTCTTATAAATTCAAAAGCATATCAAAATTAAAGGTTAAAAAGTAGAAATAAAAAATTTGGCCTATCTTCCAAATCAAATATCCTAATGCAAGTCCTGATGATGTTTAAAAATATATCAGTACAGGGCCTCCCCGGTGGCGCAGCGGTTGAGCGCTGGGTTGCGAAGCTGCCCGCAGCCTCTGCAGCGCCGGTTCAATCCCTGGCTGCTCCCCGGCCACCAGAGGAGGGTCCCACATGGCGCGCAGACCTCTCCTGCCGCCCGCTGCTCCCCTCAGCAGTGTATTTCATCACTCTGCCTGTTCTGTTCCCCGCTCTGGCTCTGGTGAATTCTCTCACCCTCCCGCGCTTCTGACTGTACCCAGTGCATGTATAAACAAAAACAAACAAATAAATAAATAAAAAACATGCCTCTATTAAAAAAAAAAAAAAATATATCAGTACATTTCTTTTTTCCTCGGCTTTAAGTTTTCTGACTTTTTGATATTAATTATAGCATATATTCCATAAGACCCAAGGCTATATATGTTATCATTCCATATCATACCAAATACTAGGATACTATTTACAATATCCAGTAAGCATTTGGACATGTTTTAGATGAGTACATTCAAAAGTGCAACATAGATCATAGAAAAACAATCAAATTATAAAAAGCACCACATTATAAATGGAGCTATTAACTGGGACATAGAGCTTAAAGAACAATCCTTCTATTAAATTGTTTTTAAAAAATAGGAGTAAATTCCACAGTAGTCACAAATCTAAGATAGAGAAAAGTTAAACATCTTAGCTAACTACAGGTGGTCATGAAACTACAATGAGCTTTTTTCCCCCACATAAAATTAGATTATTATATATGAGTTGTAAAAAAAAAATCAGATTACTTTGGCTAAGAAATGAGATTTAACATTTCACTACTGGTTTAATACTAATTTGTTATACAACTCAGAGACGCTGACTACAACTTCCATATCTCATTTAAAGATAAGATTTTGGATTATTTTCTTCCCCCAAAGCAGAAATGATGGGATTCTTATTAAAATGACCTCAAGCAAAAAGAGCATCGACATATTCACGCACATATGCACATGCAAAGGAAAAAAATACGGCTTTATTTTAACAATATTTACAAAGCAAAGTACTGAATGTAAGCACATTAATAGCAAAATTATTTTAAATGATTACACAAACTTCATTTAACTCCAATTAACACAAGAATCAGTGTTTTGCAGTAGGCTACTGAAAAAAAAGAAATCAACAAGTGTACGCCCTCTTGAAAAGTTTCACTGTTAGTGTAAAAAAATAATGACGACCAAAAAAAAAAAAAAACAAAGTATGAGGTCTTCTGACTCTGGGCAACAATATTCAAATCTAGGTAAGAGCCCCAGAAAAAATTTTCCTTTCAAATACAGTACAATGATGTAGAACAATAAAACTATAACCGACTGCGTGTTAGACACACAGCAATAACTCAATTTTCAATGCCTTTCAATCCCACTTGAGGATCCACATAGAGATCTCCTAATTTTTTCCATTAAATCCAATTAAATGCGTTTAATTAAAATTTGATTTTTTCCAAAACCACAGGTAGCTTTGTGATCGTCATATAGTAGTTAAGAAGAAGATGAAAAAAAGAGGCCCCAAAGCATCCTCCACCACGGAAGGGCCGGGCCAGCGCCCGCCTCGGGCCGGGCAGCCCCACGCGGGACGCGGCGGCCGGAGCCCGCGGGGACCCGCTTCACGGCGCGAGGCGCGGGCAGCGCTGGTTCCTCCCGGGGCGCGAGGAAGCCGGGCGAGGCCGGGCTCGCTTTTAAAACTAGACGCGCGGGGAGCGTCCGGCGAGGGCTCGCCTCCCGCCGGCTCCCCAACTCCAAGGATCGCCCCCCACGCGCCGCTCGCCCCGACCTCCAGGGCCCTAGGGGGGCCCCTCCCGGCGCCCCGGCCGAGTCCGCCGCACCCGCAGGTCCCCGCGCGGCCGGACAGCCCGGGCGGGGCGCGAGGGGGCGCGGACGCCGCGGGGCGCGCGGGGGCGCAGGGACGGCGGGCGGCCGCAGGTAAGAAAGTCTTCTCCAGGCTTCGGGGCGCCCCTCCGGCCCCGACGCCCCGGCGGAGCAAGCGCCGCAGAGTCCGTCCCCCGCGCTCTCCTCTGCACCCCCTTCCCCAACACCCCCCACGCGCCCCCCGACCGGGCGACCCGGGGCGCCCACGAAGCCAACCTGCGGGGCCACCGCGGATCCAGGCTCCCCCAGACTCAGAGTGGCGGGGCGGGGAGACGCCAGCAAAGGGGGCCGCGCCGCGCCCCCAAGTTGGCAGCACCCCGAGACCGACCCTCCCGCGAGGGGCGCCGGCGGCGGGGCCGTCACAGGACGCGGAGGACCGAGCCGTCGGGGCGTCCGCGCCCTCCCAGGGGCGGGCGCCGCGGAGGGGGCGCGGGGCCGGGTGCCGTCGCCATGGCAACACCCCCATCCGTCCGGACTTCCAAAGAGGGAGGAAGAACTTCAAATCCCAACCGTCAGCGCTCGAGCGGCTCCCTCTTAAAGGGGTACACCCCGCCGCGCCGCCGCCGCGCGCCGGGGCACCGGGGGGCGCCCCCGCCCCTCGGGCGCCGCCCCGCCGGCCCACCCGCGGCCGGGGCCCCGCGGACGCCCGGGGAGCCGCCGGGGCCGCGACCCCGCCGCGCCGGCCCGCCCGGCCCCGCCGCCGGGAAGGGGGTGTGTGAGCGCCCGGGGGCGCGGACCGGCCCCGGCGCCCCCGCCCCTCAGGGCGGCCGGACGGGGGCCGGGGCCCGCGGAGTTGCGGGGGCAGCCGGGCGGGGGGCGCCTCGGCGGGGCGCGGCGAGCGGCTGCGAACTCTCAGCCCGGCCGCCCGGCGCGGGGCCGGGCGGGGACGGGGCCGGGGCCGGGGGCGCCGGCGGGGCCCCAGACAAAAGGCGAGCGCCGGGGCCGCCGCCCCCCGCCGCCTCCCCGCGGACCGGCCCGGCGGGCGCCTCAACTCGCCCCTCACCGCAAAGTCCGCGGCGGCGGCGGCGGGGCGCGGCGGCCGCCCGCGTCTCTTACCTACACAGTGCATGAGGCGGTGGCGCCAGGAGTCGAGCTCCCGCCGGAATCCCCTCCTCTCCGCCGCGCACCGCGGGCTCCGGCACTGCGCGGCGGCGGCGGCGGCAGCAGCGGCGGCGGCAGCGGCCATTCTCTCTCTTCCCTTGTCCATCTGCGTCCCGCGTCACGCGCCCTCATTTACATACGAGCGGCGCAGGCACGAGGCAGGGGCGCGAGCCCTCGGCGCGAGCCCCGGAGCGCGCGCCCCCCGGAGGGGGTTGATTGACACGTGTCACTACCTTCCCCCGGCCCGGCCCTCCCCCTCCCGGCGCCCCCTCGGGGAGAGGCGGGGAGCGCGGGCGCGGAGGAAGCAACCTGCCGCTTCCGCTGGCCCCGCCCCCATCCCCCCCGTTCCCCCCGTTCCCCCCCCGTTCTCCCCCGCCCCCTGAGTTTACTCGAGCGAGCAGCCCGCCGCCCGCGTACGCGCTGAGCGGGAGCGGGAGGCGCGGAGCCCGGCCAGGAACTGACGGGCCGGGGGCGCTGACTCGCAACGCTTCCCTCCTGCCTCAGCGCCGCGACGCCCGCCGCCCGCCGCCCCGAGACTTCACTTCCCAGGCGCCATTGCGCCGAGGTGCCGGAGCGGAGGGTGCGGGCGCGGCGCGGGGCCTGCCGGTCCTTGTAGTCCAGCCGGGCTGGGCGCTCCGGCGTCCTGCTCGCGCGCTGCGCTGGCCGCCGGCCCCGCACTGGGCGCCCCGGGGTTTAGCCCCCGACGCCCCGCAACCCGGGATGGCGCCCTCCCGGGTCTGCCAAGCTTCCCTAGGCTCCGCGACGGAAGGGGGTGGAAACCGCAAGAGTTGTCAGCCCCGGCAGGGTTCCGGCTGCGCTTCTTGCTTTCAGGGCTGGAAACTTTTCGGGGTCACTGTCACCCCGCTTCTGCAGGGAAGGAGCAAGCTGGTCGTTCGGCTGCGCCCGCAATAAATGCCGACATACCCAGAGAGCGTCCCGGGACGTCAGTTTCCAGGGCGAAGAGACTTCGGAAAGCGAGAGTAATGTGCAAGGGTTAGGGGCTCCTCAGCCGGCTGGTTTTCGGGGAACTGGGGGGGTTGGGGGGCCCTCCAAGGGGGACGCTTTGTGAGCTCCGGGAGGATCGCGACCCGGCGAGGCGCCTGTGGCGGGACCGCGCCCCTGCCCCAGCCGGAGGGCTGCGCGCGGAGAAGCGCCGCTGGGCGCGCGCGATCCCCACCGAATGTCAGCTCCGAGGACACGTTTGCTTTTCTGTCTCAGCACAGGGGGGCAACCCGGAGGATTTGCCGAAAAGTAGTGTGTTTTACTGGAAATTCCTGAACAACCTGTGGGAAATCAGCTTTAATTCTCTTTGGAAACGCCTATGAATTCCGAGTTCAGAACCACGCTCCCTGGGCTGGGTCTTGTCTTCATCCACCTTTCTTTTTCTTTTTCTTTTTTCCAAAGTATTTCTTGACTCATCATTTCTTCTCAGTATGAAGATGTAGTTTTTCACAGATTTTTTTTTTTAAATGAAGTTTGAGGTCACATAATCACCATTTATAAAATGGTGCCAATGGAGTATAGGTGGAATCCGTGCGAGAGGATGCTTAGTTAATGTGTAGTTTCCAACACTGATTCCACTCATGCTGTGGTTGCCAAGACGATTCACCATTGTAGCTTTCCTGAACATTTTTATAATAATCTACATTGGTTAGAATAATAGAGCCCATGGTCAGTAACAAAGGACTCAAAATATTGTTGTTGTCGTTGTTGTTTTTAAAGGGTATTTCCTGGGCCTCCCTGGTGGCTAAAATGTTGGAACACAACCTATGAAACTGTCTGCAGCCTCTGCAGCACGAGTTTGATTCCCGGCCAGCCAGGGAGCAACCCACATGGTGCAGCAGACCTCTCCTGACTCGCCTGCTGCTCCCCTCAGCAGTGTACTTCAGTCAATCTGCCTGTTCGTTCCCCACTCTGTCTCTGGTGCATCCTCTCACCCCCTGCATCTCTGGCCTGCACCCCAGCTCTTGTATGCATAGATAAATGAATCTTTGAAAAATCAATAAATAAAGGGCATTTCCTGCTTATCTCTATGTACTCTCTGATGGAGGGCTAAGGGCAGGGCAGGTTGACTCCAGTAGTTGTCACCAAGCAACAACATGGCCTAGGAAGGCTCCAATCTTTGGGGCTTTACCCACTTGCTTGAAAGGCAGAAGAAAGATGGATGGCAAATTGGTTCTTCTTGAAGGTGATACAAGTCACTTCCATTCACCTTTCAATAACAAAGCAAATCTTATGGGCATGCCAGATGCCAATTCAGGGTCAGAGCCAGAATGACCACAGTCAACAATCCGATTTAGATAGGGAGAGAATGGGAGTCACACATGAATAGGTTCAGCAACCCTTTTGCTACAGATGTCTTGGATTGTCAGCTTTCTCCAGCCTCTTAGCAGCTTCTTGCCACCACCCACTGAGCTTTTAAGTTACAGCTACATATTTTAGGTTTTCTGTCATAACAGTACTTCCTTCTAGGTACCAATTTATGTATTAGTCAGAATGGGTTAGGTTACTCTGCAGTAACAGAAACCTAACATCTCAGTGGTTTAATACAAAGACTTAGTTCTTACTTAAACTAGATGTTCTGCAAAAGTCCGTGTTGGGGGGAGACCTGTTTCATGTCCATTCAGGAACCCAGTGTTAGGGAGTGTGATTATCTAGAAGCTCCCTGTCACCACGACAAGAGAAAGAAGATGATGAATCACAGCCCAGCTCATAAAGGCCTCTGGCACAAGTGACATATTTCACGGGATCAAGCAAATCATATATGGCCTCATCTATCTTCAAAAGAGTGATGTATCAGATGGCTTTGACATCGATAACAAGCCACCTGTTAGGGTAAGGTAAAAAAGTATCAGGCTTTTCTGCCCTCCCACCATTAGGATAGATGACAGAATCCTGTGGTCCCGAATGCACGCCTGATGGCGGGCACCTGGAGTAGGGTGTGGGCATATGTAGATGGGATTCACTTGGGCTAAGACTGGGCTTATAAGGGTGACGTCATGGGGATGCCAGCAGAGAACAGAAGGAGAACCACGAGAAGAGCAGGGAAGAGACCACCAGAGAACGCCAGAGAGCCCAGATAGAGTGAAGGTTGGCTGGGGGCTGGGAGGCCTGCCAGCCTCCCGGCACCCCCAGCACCCCTGCCTGCTGTGTACTCAGTAAAATCCCAATAAAAGCCTGAAAAGCCACCGAGGACTCCAGAACTCTCTTCTCCTTTACCCTGTCTGCTTGGGTCATAGACATCCTGCCCTGTGCTCATTCCTGCCATTACACCACCCAGACTTAATCATTTAAAACATCAACTATTTTATATGGAATGGCAATTTGGGCTAGGATCAGCTGAAAAGTTCTGCTGGCCTGGACCAGTCTCACTCAGGTGTGTGCAGTGAGCTACCTCTCAGTGAGGCCACTGTTCCTGAGGGTCAACTGGGACAACAGAGCAACTGGACCAGAAGCCCCTCATCAAGACACTAGCCCTGGCTTGTACACATAATGGCTATCATGGGCTTCAAGGTCAGTAAGAGAAAGTCCCAATGCACAGCATTTGAAAAATTTGGCTCAAATCACATATTCTCCAGATCCAATGGCTAAAGCAAGTGGAATGCCAAGACCAGAGTCCATATGGGAAAGTATATTCTACATCTTAACAGGAGGAGCTACAAGGGACATTGCAAAAGGGTAATGTTGTAGTCTACTGCATTTGGGAAAGTGCGATGCTATCCTAATCCCCTCCCCCCAAAAGGGGAAATAGAAGTATTAATGAGCAGAACTAATGAATGTCATATCTCTAGAATGTCTGGGGAGGGGGGGAGATCAAGGCCAATTATAGTGAAATACACAAGTGGAGCTAACTTTGGAACTCAACTTAGAAGAGCCAAGAATCACAGGATATATTACAATAATCCAATAACTTGACTTTAATGTAAAACTCAATGAACACAGAGATAGGAGTCTAGCTTATACATCCATGTATTCTCAGGATCTAGTGCTGTTCTGGGCATTTAGTTGGTGCATAACATTAATGATAACATTTAGGATATTGTAGGGTAAGGAAAAATGTCAGGCTTTTCTGCCCTCCCGCCATCAGGATAGATGATGGATCCTTGCGGTCCTGAATGCATGCCTGATGGCGGGCACCTGGAGTAGGGTGTGGGCATAGGTAGATGGGATTCACCTGGGCTAAGACTGTGCTTTTAAGGGTGGCGTCACAGGGACGCCAGCAGCAGCAGAAGTCGAAGGAGAAGCTGAAGCAGAAGCCGAAAGAGAAGCCGAGAAGCAATAGAACGAACGCCGGAGAGCCCAGATAGAGTGAAGAATTGCTAGGGCCTGCCAGCCTCCCAGCCCCCCGACCAGCACCCCTGCCTGCCATATGCCTGGTGAACCCCAATAAAAGACCTGCAAAAAACCACTGAGGACTCTGACTCCTCCTTTACCCGGTCTGCATGGGATCAGAAAACCTGCTCAGTGTCCTGTCCTGCCCCTACAGATATCTATAAAGGCAAGGATAGAGGGTCATATCCAAGACTGGCTCCTACACTGAAAATTTAGTTACAAATGATTTTTGATGTGACAACAGATATATAACATGAACATGTTGACTATTTTTTGAAAGATGTTTTTGTTCTGCTGTTTCCTATACATATGATATCCTTTATCTGATGCTGTGTACCAAACCAATCCATAACATAGTGCCTTAAGAGTACAACCACTTGTTATTGCTGGATAGTCTGCATGTCAGATGGGCAATTCTGCTGATCTGGGCAAGAGAAAATAGCCCAAAATGAATGTTATTCCTTCACTTTGTGACTAAAATACCCAATCTAATATGCTAGTAGAATACCTATCTAATTGTGAGTGATCAACAAAATATATACATTTTCTAAATGAATAAAATCCAAACACTTTTGTATGAATTTGAGATGTGTAATTGTAAGACTTAACTTTTAATTGCCTTAATTAATAAAATGATTCATATTACAACTCAAAAATGACATTTGCGTAAACTTTCTTAGTTGCTTTAAATATATCACATTTTCCTCTTACCACCTACATATTAAATATCTTATAGTTGAACACATTTTTCACTGTATTAGGAAAACTCAGACT